CTTGCTTTGCTTCAAACATATTAGCGCTACCTTTTCTTTGGAGCTAAAAAGGCAGGCCGAGAGAGGTATCAAGCTGCATGGGCAACACCTTGTAAATACAATACTGGCCAGACTTTGTAGGAACTTCATCCCTTGACATTGACACTGGCAGTGATTCTCCTGCCCCCCTACAGCACAACAACATACTCATCTGGAAAGACAGAAAGGTGCCAATAAACAAACTAAAAAGCCGCCATATAGGTTAAGGGGCCCCATTGTGAGGGTTCTGAGGCCCCATTGTGTGGAAAACAAGAATAGACCAACTGCTTCCCTAAAAGAGTCACTAATTGAGGATTTCATTTAAAATCAGAGTAAATTTGCCCAACAAGGCAAGGAACTAACAGTCTGAATACAAATAAGTCAGATTTGTAAAACGGATGTGCACAAAACACTCAGATTCTGAAACAAGTCAATAATCCAGAGGTGGTTGAAAAACCAGAACTTTCCGCCTGAGTTTACACCTGGTGAACGTGAAGAAGAAGAAGAAACAAAAAACATTTCCTTAAACCAATGAACAAATAAAAAACATCACCTTAAACCAACAGTACTACAGTCAAACAAGTACAACAATTGACATATTTAGAAGCATATTTACAGAGAATGGCAGACAAGATAGAGAGATAGAAGCCAGAGTACAGAAGGCAAATGCTGTCACCTACCATTAAGCCCCACTGCTCAGACACCCAAATGTCTCTATTCCAGCAAAACAGCAAATGATTAATAGCATCTTTATCTATACATTATGTTGTCAGTGCTAAACATGGACAGCGAATAGGGCACTAGAACAGAAAATAACTAACTGGGAAATGCGCTGTCTCCTCAAGCTCACTAACAACACAAGAAGAGACAGGGTTACGAATATCAGCATTAGGGTGAAAGTTGGAATAAGACCATGTCTAGATTATACTGACAGACAAAGAATGAAATGGTTCAGCCATCTAGTGAGAATGCAGCCAGACAAGACTACAAATGAGACTTTTTACAGTAGAACATCTGCCAGGAAGGCAAGAGGAAGAAAACAAGAGAAGAATAAATGGTGCAAGACAAATACAGAAAACCAAGACACTGGACTACAACCTGGTATCAGTAAAACAACAAAAGAAGAAGAAGATGAAACCAATAAACAAACAAACAAACAAAATCCTATTAAAAAAAATAAAAATAAAAAAATCACCTGAAACCAACATTCAAACAAAAAAACATCACCTTAAACCAATAAACAAACAAAAATATCATCATAAAACACATAAACAAACAAAAAAAAACTTCATCTGAAACCAATAAAGAAACAAAAAACATCACTTGAAAATCAATAAACAAACACCATCACCTTAACACCAATAAACAAACAAACAACATCCCATTAAAACCAATAAACAAACAAACATCATCACATTAAAACCAATAAACAAACAAAAAAGATCACTTAAATCAATAGACAAACAAAAAACATCATTGTAAAAAAAAAGTCATCATCATAAACCAATCAACAAACAAAAACATCATCAAAAATACACAGACAAAAAACAATATTATAAATCTGCTCAGCAGATAAAAAATGATAAATATTTAATCAGCTATGAGAAATGAGTTACCTGGGTTTTCATCAACACAGTAAGGCACACATATAATGTGGGAAGACACACACACATGTGGGAAGGCAGACAGTGCTTGTAAACCGTGCTCTAATTCATAGACAACAGTGATGGCAATAGTTATATGTTCCAAAGCTAGGCAAAAATGAACTTTATAAATCTCACCTCATGTTCCTTCTACTTTCAAGGTGACATATATACAACAACAGCGCCCTTCATTTATGGTGTTTCTTAGGAACTGTCTCATACACTGCTTATTCTCTACTTTTCTTAACATTCACTTGGTCTTTACATTTTTTTGCCAGGTCAACCCAGCCTAAAATGGGTGTCGGGAAATGTCCTGGGCAGTAAAGGTGGTCAGCATGAAGGTGTCTATATTATTCACATAGTGCCAAAAATATTAGTCCAGCACTGGATGCCTGATGTCCAATTGTGTAAAACTGGCTCTTTTTTCCTTGTTTAAACACTTTACATTACAGCAGTTGGGGTATAGTGTCTGAGGGTAGCTAAGTTAAGATGGCTGAACCATTTTACCTAAGCTTGTCTAATAAAAGCTAGCAATGTCACTACCTCCAATTTCTTTTTCATTTTTTATCTTCCACTTCAATATGTGTTGCTTTTCTAAGGAATCACATTTCAGTCGCAAATATATACACACACATCACTTTTAAAATATCCGGTCTAAATTGACAGAATACAATGTGGTAGTGAGTGCACTCATGCAAAGTGAGTGGAGCCGAGTTAAGAACTAACCTTACTACACTCTGGATATTCCCATAAGTGGTCTGTTACCATCTTCAGCAGCTAGCAAATAGTTCCAATGTAATACAACCATAATACCAAACAGAACTTTACAATATCTGGTCTATTTGATAGAATTCAGTTTAGTAGTGATTGCATTAGTTGTGCAAATGAAGCTATACAAAACAAATACCTGGTATATCTGACAGAATACAATGTGGTAGTGAATACATTAATTGTGCTAATAAGGCTATACAAAACAAATACCTGGTATAAATGATAGAATACAATGTGTTAAAGAATACATTAATTATGCTTATGAAGCTATACAAAGCAAAACTGATTAATGTCTGAGACAACTGACAGAATACAATGTGGCAGAGACTGCACTAGAGCAAACTGAAGCTACACATGCTGTGATGGCTTTGTATCTTAAACCCCAGGTTTATTTACATTCATTTTAAATGCACTCCAACCGTTCAACTTGTGGTTTTGAAACAGTGCTCAAAAAAATATATCTGGAAATACATGTCCAACAATTAACAATGTTACTAGTGAGCCAAGTAAAGAATCTTTTCACTGCTAGAGCTAAATTTATGTAGACCAACCAACTCTCATTGGGTGATATAGTCAATATCATGTTGACTGCCTTTACTTCCTAAGACACTACCTGGTACCCATTTTATTTGGGTGGTCCTGAGAGCCAAGATTAGTTTTGAAAACAAAATGATTTGCAAGGGGGAAGTGAAATATATGGGTAATGAACAAACAAAATTCTTTAGTCATGTGATGAGAAAAGGAACACTGGAAAATATTGTGATGACTGGAAAGAGGACTGGTAGAAGAGGCAGAGGCAGACCAAGAGAAAAGATGGTGGATGGCTTAAGACAGTGGCATGGAGGAATATCATCAGTGGAATTGATCCAGGACATCAGAGATTGAGATCTGTGGAGATGCATGAACGCCCAAACCAGCTGGCAAGGCACTTGATGATGATGAGGTATTGAGGTGGATCTGTGAGAACAGGATGCAATGGACCATGCTGTCTGTAGGGAGGGGCAATCTAGAAGTCAACAGGGATTAAAAAAAAAAAAAAAAAAAACAACATACAGGTAAAGAGCTGAGAATAATCATGTTATATACATGTGATGATGATGATAATCCTGAAGCGGCATGCTCTGACTGCGGAAGACTTTTCTTAACATGAGCAGGTCTTGCTACTCAACATTTCCCATTGTCTTAGGCTGTGATTAGTGCAAACACAGCACTATACAATATAACACCATCTTCAGGAAGTTATGCTAATGTAGTTTCCTCATATGGACAGTAGTTTATGGTTTCGCTGCCTGAGTTTAGTGCCTGGTGCAGCCCTGGGAGCTGTGTTTTTCATGTGATATGCCTTTCATTTGTGCAGCGGCTGAGTCGTGGTATTCAATATGGCAGACAGCCGGTTTACGTGTGGGCTGGTAAAATACCCTATGTAATAATTCTACGTGTGTATGGCCAACTTATCCTGTCTGACTACTTCCATCGACAACAAACTACATTTCTAGTGGCAACTTTTGGGTCTGGCGCCTCTAGAAACTGCCTTATGCATTTACTGCATGCGCATATTTCTGGATTGTTCACCAGTTTTTTTAATGGGACTTTGTGGGACATTTAATTTGATTTTCACTGGTACAAGAACGGAGCGAGTATGCAGTGAAGTTGAAACCTTGACTAAGACTTTCTTCAGGAGAGATACAAACAACATTAGCTCTTTCTGTTCTCCAATCTTTGCAACAATCACACGAGGTGATCTATTGCTTATGACATGAATACTAAGTATAGCAAGTATTCTCTCAAATGACTGATCAACCTTCAGCTGTGTCCAAGATGAAATATACAATGATTTATATCTCTTGCAATGAAACATTTACAGTCTGACACTTAAGTAACGAGACATATTTTTTTTTTTAAATATCCTTGAAGCACAGGTAACAGGGCAACTTTCAGCAGCTAAACAAAATGGCAGGTTACTCCTCATCTGCTGACCAGGTGGTGTTACAGTTTTGCCAAATAATAAATAAATGGTGCCTTTCTGGACAACAACTTCTCGTTCTTCTTGTCCACTGGCTGTAAACTCTGGAGAAACGTTGTGGTTGTTCGTCCATTTCTGGACTTTTAATCTTTTTTCCAGAACCTGAGTGTTGCGTGTGCATTGTTTTACAGATATAACTCATTTGCAAGCAGCTGTTGGTTCCTTGCCTCTCAGGCAGGTGCACTCCGACTTTGAAGGAAGCTCCCAAGTAGTTGACTCTTACGACATGCTTTTGGGTAGGCAGTGGGTCTATTCTTGTTTTCCTTTCAATAGGGTCCTGGAACCCACACGGGAAGTCTGGATGACATATTCCGCTTCAATTTTTTAAAAATATCATCAGACTGTATTTCCTTTTTTATATAATAAGGAGGATACAAATATTTAACACAATTGATTACCAGCATATTTTGTGTCCTCATTCAAATTCATAATAGGAATTTGTTTTTTTATTTTTTATTTCCATATCACAGAGAATAAAACTGGGAACAAACACTGTGCAGGTAACTGTTCTCATGATAAATTCAACAGTGGCAGGAAGCAGGTCTTCATTTCCGAGACTCTTGAAGAAGTCTGAATGCCTGAAAAATTCAACAGTAAAATATACATATAAAAAACTGTCTCTTACTGCCCTTTTTTTTTTCTCCTGCATTTAGATGTTGATGATAATGGTTTAAATGAGAGAACTGATCAAGGTGTTTATAGGAAAGAACTGATAAAGCTAATTATAGTAGCCAACTGATTACGATAGATTTCCTAGAAGAGAGAAAGTATTTTTTTTTTTCAAGAGAATTAACAGATAATTAAACTCCTTGGCGAGTCGCCATGGCAGAGCGGCTAGACATGCGCCGCGGATCAGAAGGTCGTGGGTTGGCACCTTGGCGGAGGCGGACTTTTCTTAAAAAATGACCTTGGTTCCCAGGTCGACCCAGCCTTGAGTGGGTACCGGGTGCAATACGGGGAAGTAGAGGCGGCCGGCGTGATGCTGACCACATCACACATCTTGTGCTGTTGGTCTACATCTTGTGCTGTTGGTCTACATCTTGTGCTGTTGGTCTACATCTTGTGCTGTTGGTCTACATCTTGTGCTGTTGGTCTACATCTTGTGCTGTTGGTCTATAAAATATAGGTCTAGCCCTGCGTGGAAAAGGGTTCTTTACTTTAAACTCCTGGGGTACCTAATAAAAAAGGTTAAGAGAAAAAGATAATGTTAATGTCAAGGAATAGAAGAGGATGTTAGACAAAAGCAAAAGTTAATTAGAGGGAAACAAACATTTCAATAAAAAGTTACACTAAATATGGTAAAGCAAAGAAGGCAAAATTCACCTTTAGCATCGCCGTCACCCAATTCATGCTCTGCTCCTTTCGAGAGGATGTTTTATCAACATTCATTTTCAGAATCATAAACTTGCCTACACAGTCACTGTACTGGATACAGATTCCATTTCCTACACGGTTACCTAAGAGGTGAATTTAGATAAATCATTAAATTCACAATCATCAGAACCATGCAGTTGCAAATTTAAAAAAAAAAAGATTACAACAACTACAGTGACGGGACAAACACGGTACAAATGCAACTTGGAAGTAATCTAATCCAACATATAGTTACACTCTGAAGATGATTCAGGAGACCCCACAGAATCAGCAACACTGAAGAGACAAGAACTTCAGATCAAAAGAGGTGTCGCCAAACATGAACACTATACAGGTAACCACACTAAGGGATACACTGAAGATGGGATTCGAGCGCTTATGGACCTGTCTGATATGCAGTGAGAATAATCTGTCGATAAATTAACTAATTTTGAGAGGCATAAGTTGCTGACATTTTCCTATGTGCCCTGATGACTATGTTATATTGTGCTATAGGAAGGCAAGGGTCCACAGCCCGCTGTGATGCTGAGTATGACTAGCAAGACCCAGTCACATGAAGAAAAGTATTCTACAAGCCTAGATCCAGAAATAAGGCTGTACAGCTCAAATGGGAATTCCCGTTTGAGCTGTACAGTCTTATATCTGGAGATTGCCATGGTCTTCCACAATGACAGCAGGGAATTTCTGGACCACTGCTGCTATCACAATATTCAATGTGCCTCTTCTCAGCTGCCCAGCTTTTAATATTTCTGTAATCATGTTCTTCTCTAAACCAATTCCCTTCCTGATTTTTCCCCTCCATGTGGCACGGTCCTTGCATCCTGTTTCCACAAATTCACCTCTTTATGTGTATCAAAGACAGTTATTTGCTGAGCGACAGCTGCCAGATAAACGTAAAAAATAAAAAAATCATATGTTTCTCCTCCTTTATTCAAGTGAGGAACTCAACGCACTGTGCCTGTTTACAGCATTATCATCATCATGTAGCAGTTTAACCTAGTTTGAAACTGGTACAGGTTTACATACCCACAGATAGACAAACCCTAACAGTGACACGTCCACAGACTTAGCTACCAGGAAAGTCACACACTTGAAGCATAGGTTAACATACCCACAGATAGATAAGCCCTAACAGTGACACGTCCACAGACTTATCTACCTGAGAAGTCACACACTGACCACTATGTCTACTGACCTTGCTGATCCAGCTCGACTCCTGCCACTTGCACTGATTCAATCTTCTGAACTAGGATATTCTCCTGCATTTCTCCATCAAACTGTAGGTACCTGGAGATGGGTAGTCACATTAGAGACTGGCAATGACAGAAATGAGCATGTATGAAAGTTATTTTTTTCCCTTTCAATGACTAATCGATTTGGATAAAATATGTATAATGATCTGTTATTGTCAATTATCATGTTTCTTAGATCTGGTTAGCATGCTGCCAGGGGATTATTTTGATGCTCGGAACTTGTTACTAAGTCCGGCCCAGACTGAGCTTTCATTCATGCTTTCTCACTTGTGACATGGGCTGGTCTATATTAGAGGGGTGTCACATTGTCTTGTGTTCCGGAAGATAGAGTATAGAGGCGGCAAGCTACGCAGTGTGTTTTACTTGTTGTTGCAAGCAGGCGGCGACATTGTGTATATTACGGAGTTCAGGTACAACATGAATTTAGGTCGGCAGTCAACGTTGACGAGCAACAAGGAGGAGAGCTGTGCTTTTCTGCAACATGATGGGTTTTTTAGGGTGCAGCAAAAAATGTTAACAATTCTGGAACGTAGGTTGAGGCTGTGGGGTGGGGGTTTAGGGCTAGGACTGGTTCTATATGTTCTGGGGTCGTTAAAAGTGGTGTCGCCGTGAAGTATAGAACACACAACATCGCTGCTGATAGCATCATAGACAAGACAATGTAACACCCCTGTAACATAGACTAGCCCATCTCACAAGTTAGAAACCATGAATGAAAGCCTAATTACACTCTATTACTCTATTTTTGTATAAGAAGAGCTTAATGGTCAAAGAAATAGAATGAAGCATAATTGGACTAAGAAAAATAGTAGGAGTGTTTATTTGAAACATGTTTGTGCTGCACTGTGTGTAAACATGTGCATTGAAAACAATCATGTCTTATTTCTAAGTATTAAATATATGATGGCTTTTATGTGCGTTTTTTTAAGTGGGCACCATGTGAGCTTTTGTCTGAGTTTTAAACCCAGGCAGGGAAATGTGTCCTTCTGTGGTAGTCTCTTGTGTGATAGACAGAGGCTGAAGTCAATGAATACGGGGCAAGAGTTGGTGACACACATTCCACAACCTATTCTGCAGTGCTGTTTACCATTTCTGATATTTTTCTAGAGGCAACCGAAGTAGACTGCTGTACTTCATATTGCTCGGACTTCCATTTTCAAAATGGCGGATAGCAGCTGTGTTTATTTACGCTGGCTGTCAATTCTCTTGGATTATTCTGTTTAGTAATCATGAACTGCTACTTTGTGCACATTTCCAACGCAGGATACTATGTGTTTTTTGGGGGAGCAGCGTGTATTGTGGTTGTGCTGTCTGTGTCGGGGCGGGATAATGACTGATAGTTAGACTCGACCACACTGCCTTCGCAATGTTTTGATTGCGGCGGTCCACTTGGGAAGACAGAATCTCGTCAGCAGGGGACTGCAACTGTCTAGAGAGCAAACTCGATAAAAGCTGTCCCCAGCAAGGGAATGTGTCAACCATATATTTGGTGGGGAGGAATCGACACATACAGTTAACTCAATGGCCATGGCTACATTGCTCATATAATGAAAAATCATTATCTCGCCAGCACTGTTCTGCATAACTCTAGGAGTGATCCTGCTGCCCCCTAAAGTGAGTACCAGAGATTGTCTTGGGTTAGTAAAGATTACAAGTGTGATACTAATCACATTCCTCATTGTAACAGAACAACGTATCCCTTATGGTTACCTACTGGTTACTGTACTTCAATAATCTTCTTCTTCCTAAGTCCATGTCGTGTGGCAACAAGCAGTTATCAGGTTACCCATAATGTACTGTTTTGTGTACTTTCACTCAACTCTGACACAGATGATCTTCCATGCCATGATGTCAAACTGTCAAGCATCTTCTCCCTGTCTCCTTTGGATTCTTTTTCTCTCAAACATGATGTACTGCAAATTTCTCCATTGTGTGACTTGAACAAAATCATGTAGATTGTCTCTATCTAATTTAGGCGATCAGTTCTCTTCATGAGTCAGTTTATATCCTCAAGAAATCTTAATATTTTTATCTGTCCAGGGTATTATTCTCATCATTCATCTATTAAACCACATCTTTGCCACTTCCACACAATTTTTCACTAATTGTTTAACTATTTAACTAATTTGCTGACATTCAATTGTAACATTCTTATTATTGCCTGTACACACTTTGTTGTGTGGATGATCAAAGTTATTTCCAGTAAAGGTAAAATACATGTGTTTTACCTGTGATCAGGTGAGAGAAAGCAACTGAATGTTTTGCCAGGTAAAATACTAGAGTCACTGCTATCTTGATCAAAATCTGTGTGTAATTGGAAATCTCCTCCTGGACATGAAAGTGGGTAACAGTTCAGTTCATAACAAACATAAAATTATTTACACTGAGGCATATCAAACATAATCACACACACAAACACAGACACAAAACACCCAATGTTAAATCTTACACGGCTAGCAAGGTTAGGTATCCACTGTAATATAATAAACTTCTAAATATCATTTAAGAGAATTAAATTTTTATAGTGTAACAATTACAGTACAGTGTCAAGTACTGATTCAAGATGTGACCATGGTGTAATCTTCTCTGGTTAAATAGATAAACAAAGAAGTAAACTAAACAAAACAACAACAACAACAAATTGTTACTTTAAAAAAAATACCAACCAGATAATTTTTTTATAGTTTTTGTCAACAGACTCACTGGGCACCTCCGTAAAAAGTAGTGACATCCATTATCTACGAGTTAAAGTAAAGGACCATTTTAACACCTTTGGTACATTGGGCATATATTGCTAAATTTTAATTCTGCACTCAATGGGTGATATGGTCAACACCATGCTCGCCACCTTTACTTCCCAGGACACTACCTGGTACCCATTATAGTCTTGGTCGGCTTGAAGGTAAAGTCAGTGCTGATAACAAACAATCTTGCTGCATATTCAAACCCAAGAATTCTGGGACGGCACAAGCATCCAGCCACTACCCCACAGTGATAACTTGATAAGCCCTCATCAATTAACAGGGGATCTCTGCATAGAAGTAGTTTAGATGTTTGCCTTGAGCCCCAGAGGGAGTCACTGTGGTGCAGCGGCTAAACACTCATTTGCAGATCTTAAGGTCGTGGTTTCAAACTTAAAATTACCCAGACTTTTTTGTTTCAAAAATGCTCTTGATATTCAGGTCCTCACAGCCTTAAATGGGAACCAGGTAAAGTCCTGGAAAGTAAAGGCAGCCATGTGCTGTTGATTAAATCACCCATCGAGTGCCCACTGGTCTAAAATAAAATATAGGTCTAGCACTATACGCCCAATTACGCCTGAAGATGTGGAAAGGTGTCCTTAACTTTACGTGTGCTCTAAGGTTGTGAGTTCAGACAGACGCACTAAATTTGCCTTGTGTGATGCTTTCAGCAGGCGATCAGCTGCTCTACAGAGAGAGACTGAGCTATCTGGGATCAAACTGAGTGTAATAAAATCAATCATCTTGCCTCCAAATTACCAGGATAATTTATATAATACTCAATCAGATTTAATAAACTAAGATAAATAAAATTAAGTCCTGTCAGCAATAAATATGACTGTATATTTGTATATTCATATACAACTTACCATCAATCAAGATTTTCAACTGTTTTTCAAAGAACTCGCTCTCCTTCTTGGAAACAAGGGCACACATCTTGCAGTGTCTGACTGGGTCAATAAAGCACATCCGGGGCAAGGCCACCATGCTGTTGCAACATTTGTCACAGAAACATCTGCCACATCTTCGGCAGTGGTGCTGCGGTTGGAAATGAGAAAACATTCATGAATATCCAACAAGGAAAATATTTTATTTTTGAAGTTCATGTCGTGTGGCAGTGGTCGTCAGATCTGCTCCCAGCCTACTATCTAATCTATCACTCATTTATGATATAGTTCTTCCAAGCCAAGCTGCCAAACTGTTCAACAACTGTCTTAGTCTCGCTCTGCCTCTCTTGCCCTCCAACTTTTCTAGTGTTACAATAATTTCCAGTTCTCTCCTCTCGATGTGCCCAAAGAAAATGGATTATCTTTGATGAAAAACTGTAATGAGAAGGCTGCATTTGCACAGTGTCCAGGTGCAAGCCTGAAGGTTTTGAGTCTGAAGTCTTGGCTCTCAGGTCAGCAAAGTTTAAAATGGATACCAGAAAAGGTCTGGGAATTAAAGGCAGTCAGTGAGATGTTGACCATATCACTCATCATGAGCCGATTAGTCTATAAAAATGAGTTTAGCAGCCAATGTGCCAATGGTCTGAAAAGGGCCCTTAATTTTTACTTTGTGGTAAAGAAAGCAAAGAGATGAAGTGAATTTTAAAAAAAAACCTGGTATGCATCAACATCATGAAGTAGGCCCTCAAAAGAATGTTGCTTTCATCATGGCTCACTAGAAAAACGGAACCAAATTCAATTGTATGCTCAAGGTATCTCAATATGCTCTATCCGCCAGCCAATCTCTGCCTCTTCCTCCAGAGATATGGCTTCCATTTGTGTTTTTATGTGTCTAACCACCGTATCTTGTAATACGACCAAACTATTTTAGTTTCCAAAAAAATAATGCACAAATTTTACGAGACAAACAAACAAAACCGAACTTAATAACAGAGTATAATAAATCATACTGTGTTAAGCCAGTTTCTTTGATTTTGAAGTCCTACAGAATTTCACATTTTTCATCTTCTTCAACCATTTTATTCTACATGTAAGTTCCAAACCCAAAACTGTGTATTTTGTTCATGACTCACACCCTTCTGTTGCTAGAGGAAGAATGTTATGATCTCAAAATGTCTATTTTAGTTTGTTTTAGTTGCACACCCACTTCAGGACGCCACAAACTAATCGCAATATTTTACTAGGCAACAGTGCATTCCTCAACATTGCCGCGGTGGGGAGTTTGCGTTTTTCAATGACCCTGAGAGCTATGCGGGTGGTAGCGTGGAGCTATCAGCAGGGCCTTCCAACCCGGAAAGGTCAAAGGGTAGAGAACAGACAAAGAGAGACACCCTGATGCTCCAGGTTGGGGGTTGAAGCATAGGCCCGACTTCCCCCCCCCCCCCCCTCCCACCTTCGTAAAACTTCATCTCATCATGAAACAGATATCTAAGCCTAGAGGCAGGTGATATCTGCAGCAATGAACCTCAAGGGCTCAGAATGCTGAAGAAGAAGAAAAAGAACTGTGCATTCTGTAGTTTGCTACTGTCAGCATCTGTGGCTAGGGTGTTGTGAACTTGCTTCATATTTCTTAGGTACTCAGTTTGATTTCAGCTGCAGCAGACTGCTTCGTATTAACCCAGCTCGAATGGCTATCAGGAAAAGTCCTGTGTAGTAAAAGCGGCCAGCATAATGTTGACCACATTACCGACCAAGTGCCGATTGGTCTATAAACAAATACAGGTCTAGCCCTATATGTTAAATACACCTCAAGGCATGGAAAAAGGTTCTTAACTTTTACTGTACTCACAACAGAAACAGCCAAAATACACTGAGATTAGTTCTGCAATATCCTGTAAAGGATACACAACTAATTTTAAAACAAACAAAAACTTTAAAGTACGCTAATGTTTTCTGAACGGTACAATGTTACCCACACACACAAAAACCCACACACAAACACAAAGAAGAGAGACAGCTGTTAGCCAAATATAAAATACTGAAACCAACAGTAAAAGTATTGAATGTCTAACCTTTCTTTTCAAGATGTCAAATTTTATCTGACACTCTATGTTTTGACAGTGGCTGCACTGAAATAGACAATATTATTAGTAAAATGGATTAAAATACACAGAGATACAAATGATGATGTTGCAAACAAATTAATTTTCTAACACTTGTTATTATTTTATAAGTCTTTCCCATTTCATTATCTACATTCAAAAATATCAAGGTTGATTTCACCATTTTGACTCGTAATGAAGAGTAATTTTGCACTGTACCATCAAGCAGGTTTCTAAGCACATCTGATCGCGACAAGAGTATCAGGGGAGGGGTGGTGTTTCCCCTGACCTTGTAATTAAATTGTGGGTGTGTGTTTTGTTTCGATTCCTTACTATTTGCTGTAATTGATTTTTCATTTTTTTTGGGTGCAATAATTACTTTAATTATCTATACATGAATGATAAATTTAGGCTTAGGAATGGCCAAATAGACTTGAATTAGGCATCACAATATTGGTGTCTGCGATTTAGGCGTTGTGAACGCAAATGCGCTTTGTAATGCAAGGGTACAGGATTCAATCCCAGCTGCGGGCCTTGAGCTGGTTTCGACAGTGGTATCGAAAGCCGACCGTCCAGAAAGCAGTGGCAAACTACTGGATGCAAATTTACCTAGAAAACCACAACAGCCAAAAAATGCTAGGTTTGTTTCTGCAACATCCTGTAAAGGATATGCAACTAACATATATTATAATAAGGAAGAATTCTGAAACCAGTTACTAGAATAATCTGGATAGCATAACCACTGCTGTCTTCTTCATTAGTCATCTATTGTCTTTCAGCATTAGGTTTTAAAAAAGCATCAGGTGAGAGCCTTGGTAAATGTTACACAGACACTGGTATTTAAGGGCTCGGATATTCCATCTATCCATTGCTTGTGTATTCAACCTCTGGTTCTGCTTCCATTGTGTCTAATTGACAGGGCTCTCTGAGGTTCACTGTCTGGTGTTAGTCTTGATACACGTTCAAACCATTTGATCTGTTGTCTTTTCATGTAGTTTAATACTGGTTCAATCCCATCTTCTTTCCTGATATTGTTATTTTGATCCTACCTCTTCTAGTTACATTTAGGATTCACCATAGACATTTCATTTCTGTTGTTTAGACTGTTCTGTGGTCTTTTGTTGTTAATGTCCATGTGTGGTATTGATGTGATAACACAACGGTGGTAAAAATACTGTACTAAACAGTCCTCTTTTGGTGTCAGTAATTACATGTTTGAGCTATCCTCCGAATAACAGCCACATATGTTGTTGTTGTTGTTATCGATCCAGCGGCGCATGAGCTTTTGCCCTTTGGCCCAATGCCATGTAGTGGAATTTGCATGTTTTCACAAGCTGTTCTTTTCCTCCGTACAAGGTGTTCCACTTGTCTGGTCTCGGAGGGAGTAGCGTTCTTCTTGTCTCACTGAGTTCTGGGCACTCAAAGAGATGGTGTTCAACAGTTTCGTAGGGGTAGTTACATAGCTGGCACTCTGGGGAGTGTTGTGGCTGTATTCTGTTTAGGTGTCCATTGAGTGGAGTATGTTGCGTTCTAAGTCTGAAGATGGTGGCCTGGTCCCTTCTTGTTAGATGGTTAATGCTGTCATTAGGATCAGGGTCAGACATATGTCTATAAACCTCTCTTCCAGTGTCTCCCATGGCCCATCTGTTCAACCAAGTCTCTTTGTTTATAGCTCTTATCAGTGTTTTTGCTGTCTGGAGGGTTGTCGCTGTAGGTGGTTGTTCTTGTGTTGCTCCTTTCTTTGCCAATCTGTCAGCTCTGTCAATCTGTCAGCTCTGGTGTGCCGGAGTGACCTGGAATCCACTGCATTACTATTCTGATGTTGTATGAGGTAATGAGCTGATCAGCATCCAGGATTATCTTGGCTATATCAGTTCTGCAGCGTTCACTGCCCTCCAGAGCTTGAAGGGCAGACATTGAATCTGTGAAGATGACAATATTTTGGACCTTTGAAGGGTAAACATCCATTACAGTCTATAGGTGGTATACTGCTGTTTCCAATGCAATTATTTCAGCTTCATAGTTTGAACAGAATTCCCCGCATGCATCAAAAATCTCTTCAACAGATCCATCGGGATAACCTGTGTAGATTCCGTAACCTGCTTTAATGGTAGCTTTAAATGCTGATCCATCAGTATAGACATGTATCCATTCTTGGGGGTAAGAATCAACGGTCTTTAGTGATGAGTTCATAAGAGCGATTGGGTCGGGCTGTTTGGTTTCCTCGCCTACCAATTTAGTTCGGACTTCTGGAGCTTTAAAGCGAGCATGTGGTGGTAGGTTTCTTGCAACATTCTGAATTCCTTTACGTCTTTCTGGGAGGTGGTATCTGTCCTGAATTTCATTAACACAGTGTAAAACCGATTTGTGCTTTATTCTTTGTTTGTATTCCCAGTTTTCTACAAGATGTCTATTAGGATGGTTACGAATTTTCCTAACGCATCTTTCATAAATTTCTAAAGTGGCTTTTTCTCTCCGCAACCCGAGGGGTTCCACATTTGTATGGATTTCACATGCAGCAGTTGGTGTAGACTGCATAGCTACGCAGATTAATCGGAGGCCATTATTTTGTACTCTGTCAAGAGTCTCTAGGTTAGTTTTGGAGCAAGTTGTAAGCAGTGAGTTGTTGTACTCTATCACAGAGCGAACATATCCTAGATATAAGCCCCTTAGAGTTTCCTTGTCTGATCCCCATGATGTACCTGCAAGTCTCTTTAATAACTGTAACCGCCTCAATGCCTTATTCCTGATGTTTTCAATATGGTTCTTGAGGCTGAGCTGCCGGTCAAGTGTGACTCCAAGGTATATGGGATGCTCTTCTTTCATTACTTGGTGTTTGTCTAACCTCAGGTTAATATTCTTCCTTGCTACTTGGTGGCTTTTGGTAAAGATTGTGTAGACCGTCTTTGCACAGTTAACCTTGAGTTTCCTTCTTTGCAGTACTCATGCAGTCTTCTAAGGTCTCCATTCAGTCTTTGGGCTCCACTTTCCACATTTTCATGACTCTGCCAAATTGCTAGGTCATCAGCGTACAAGGCATTTTCGGCTTTGATTTGTTCTGGCAGGTCATTGATAAAGATTAGGAATAGTGTACAGCTCAAAGATGAGCCTTGTGGCAAGCCCTCCTCCAAGACTTCTTTAGAAGAGATTGCGTTGTGCATCTTAGTCTGGATTGTTCTATCTATCAGGAAGTATTTCACCCAGTTATACAATCTGCCATGCATTCCTATGCTCATCATATTCATCAGGAGACCTTTTCTCCATACTCTGTCATAGGCCTGCTGGAGGTCGACAAAGACTGCCACTGTGTGTTTCTTATTCTGGAAGCCATCATGAATTCTTTGTGTCAGTCTGAACAGCTGGTCTTCTGTGCAGTTGTTGGTTCTGAAGCCTGCCTGTTCATGGCATAGAACACCAGAACTCTCAAGGAACCAATATAAGCGCCTGTTTATCATTCTTTCTGCAACTTTGCCCAAGCATGATGTCAAGAATATTGGGCGGTAGCTTTTGGGGTCATCTGGAGGCTTTTTGGTTTTAAGAATGGGGACGATATATGCATTCCTCCATGCCTTTGGAAGTTTGCTTGACCTCCAAGTTTTATTAATAAGCCTAAGAACTACTTCTCTCCCAGACCGGCCAAGATGTAGCAGCATTTCGTTGTGGATCTTATCTGGGCCTGGAGATTTTCTAGGTTTTAATTTCTTCAGGGCTTGCTCTAATTCATCCATGCTAAATTCATTTTCAAAAAGGGAGTCGCTGGCTGTTGGAGCTCTCTCTTGTTTCTTCAACTGAGAGAGCTGTGTTCTATTGAGTTCTGACAGCTTACCTGCTCTGTTAACTGAGGCAAAATAATGATTGAAATGTTCTGCTTTCTTCTTGTCTTCAGTGATTGTCTTTCTCCCATCTGTCACTGGTTTTGGGTTCACCCTTCTACTTTCTCCGGAGAGGTTTTTAACTAAAGTCCATGCTTTATTTCCATTCTGTCTAAGGTCTAAGTTGGAGCAAGTTTCTGTCCATTTATCTCTTTTAGCCTTATTAACTACAAGCTTTACCCTGGAACATGCTTTATTGTATTGGATCTTTGCTTCTGTTGAACGTGCAGTTTCGAGCAATATTCTTGCTTTATTCCTTTCAGATATAGTATTTTGAATTTCTTGATTCCAAAAAGGTTTATATGCCTTCCGGCTGCCCCTTGGGATGGCTTTTGACGCTGCATTCAGGATTGCTTGTGTAATGTCTTCACAAAAAGTTTCAACACAGCTGTTGTCAATTCTTCCCAGGAGGCAGCCACATATTATAGCGGCCAAAAACACACCCTGACAGGGCCTCAATCTCATATAAATTGCGGACTTCCTCCGACGAACACATTGCGGCAAAACTAGGATTACTGCCCGTTGACAATTTCGAGAAACGAAACAATACACAGGATAATAGCAACATGGCAGGGAGACCACACGCTCCGATGCAGGTTAGCGATAGTGTCCTTCCAATTAAACACACAGCCAAGCGTATCCCCCACGCCGCGCGTAGCGGCTACCGCATCTCCTGCAACTTCCTCCAATTTATTTGCTCGTGAGTCCCAGCCATCTAGTTTAGCTCCCTATCCGCGCAGTGAAAACTGCATTACCAATGTGGCACCGATCATATTTAGCCAAATTTCAATGGCGCCACAGCCACAAAGAGCAGATTTTCGGGCACTATTTGCAATTTCTTTGCCACTATTTTCAGATATAAAGGCCTCAATTATCGCTAAGTAGTCGATTTCATCATTTTCCTTTTTCTTTGTTTCTCATTATTTTTGAGTTCAAGTTTTTGAAGGTTTACAACACACAACCTAATGAGGCCCTGTCAAAGTGTGTTTTTGGCCGCCATAATATGTGGCCGTTACTCGAAGGATAGCCCACGTTTGTTATGCAAAATTAGTGACATGTGTCCAGTGATTTGATTTATTACATCTGTGATCTATCTCTGCTTTGTTGATTCCATTAGATGATATGCTCCCTAGGTATTTGAAGTCTTCTGGTTGC